ATAATGGAAGGCAGTAGCTAAAAATCTCTAAGAATTATACATATTGATATAAATAGATAAAATTAGATTTCAAATTATGTATATATATAAATAGTTCAAATTAGATTTCAAAATTGAATAAGAATTTAAATTACTTTTTATCTCCTTTCGAAATATTAGATTAGATTAGATTGCAAAAGAAAAAAGAAATGCTAAAAAAGCCATTAATAAATGAGAAAATTTGTAAAAATAGGAAAAAGGAAATACTGAGATTAGAAAGTCGCAACTCAGCTTTTAAAAAATTTTTTTTTTTGCTTCAGGGTTTTATATATATATAAATGGATAGAATTTATTTCAAAAAAAATTATACTATTCGTACTGTTTTGGTTCCATATTTTTTTATCTAACATTTTTAGGTTAAGTTGTTTGGGATGAGTCTATTGGCTCGGGTTTAGACATCTGAAAATATTAAGATTTTTTTAGATTTATGAAAATTAATAAAATAATTAAATTCTCTGTCAATATATATACACATATATATATATATATATTGAAGTTTGTTTCACAATAATAACAGTTTATATATTTTTTATTCAGCACTGGGAAAGGGAGGAATTTTAAAGTTTTATTTCACAATCATATACAATCATTTCAGGGCCAAAATGAAAAAAAAAAAAAAAATCTACTTAGACTTTTTTATCATATATAACTTTTGCCAATTCTTTAAATTGTTATCAATTATATTTCGTATTTGAATTACTTTTACAATCGTAGCTTCAGTCGTTCTTCCATTACAAATTTTTCACTGATGTGGCTACTTAGATGATTAAAAAAAAAAAAAATCTACTTAGAACTTTTTTATCATATATAACTTTTGCCAATTCTTTGAATTGTATCAATTATATTTCGTATTGAATTACTTTTACAATCGTAGCTTCAGTCGTTCTTCCATCAAATTTTCACTGATGTGGCTACTTAGATTATTATACAGTTAGATAAATGAGTTCTTTTACTTTTATCGATCGATACTGTGAAATTTTAAATTCCCCATAATGAAATTATATCGTTCATGATAGGATTGTTTAAGTAGGTAATTCACTTAGCGATAACATTTCTAAGCAAGATCGAGTATTTTGACATAATTTTAGATTATATTTGCAAATACATATATAACCCAGAAAAGGTTAGCCTAACAGAAACCATACTGGATAAACTTCCGGCGGTCATGGGTTTGATTCTTGGGAGTGTTTAAGCAGAGTTAATTAATCCTGCTTGGGCTAAAATCTGCCAATATTCATGGGATTCATATGGAGAGACATTTGTATGGATTCGAGGTGGAGAGTAGAAACTACGCCTGTCCACCATAAGAATATTATGGATAGACTATATATACAATATGCTCTTTAAATCATATTCACAAAATTAGTGGCTAATGACAATTTTTATGATGAAGAGCATTCAAACTCGAGACCTTTTGCTTTCCGCATTTCAATCCATATTTTTATTGTCCTCCTTGTTGATGATATATTATTTCTTGATTATTGCATGATATGGTTGAAATAGCTTACCTAAATGATGTTGCAATTAGTAAGCTTGTTCATGTCTTTTTGCAAAAGTAAATAAATAAAATAATTAATCTAAAAAGAATAAATTATTAAACTAAAAATTTACCGGTATAAGTAAGTCTCAGTTTCAAAATAGACTCTCTTAGTCTTTAAAATAAAAATTATCAATAAGTTATCAAATGCTCGAAGGTCACGTGACATTCTCTTCCTCAACTAAATGGATGTATATAGATATTTTCTCCATGACTTAAATATCTATAGTGTTATTCTTAATCAACCTAATACAAGAATGGTGCTACTTCTCTCCGTTAAAGGCAGCTTGTGGGTTGAAGAATGCCTAAAGCAATTCCATCAGCATTGGTACACGTTGCTTTAGTTGGTTGGTTATGGTACGTGAGCTCTATATCTTGTAATTTAATCCCACTGCATGGGTGCGTTTTACTGCAGTCAAATTTAACTGCAACTTCTGTTGCTGATGATCCATGGATATTTTTGTAGGTCACATCACTAATTTTTACTCCAGAAGCCTGTTTTCACAATGGAAATTGCATTTCAATGAGTATAGAGTGCTAGGCCTAAATAAATATGTCCATTACCGAAAATTAATAAGCGTACCTGCCTTGGGCAATTGTTATTGCCATCGCAGTAATTTTGGTCAATTATAATCGGATTTTTAACATTGTTGATGATAGCATGTTGGAAATGAATGTCTGTAGCAAAACTATTGCTAGGTCTCCCCCAAGTCTTGATTCGAACGCCATTTTTAGTGCCAGTGAATGTACAATTCGTAACGGTAACATTTCTCACTCCCTTTTCCTGAACGTCCTTTCCCAAACTTCCAATGCTGCACTAACCACATATTTTGTATTGTTATTACATATGAATAATAATGATTGAGAATCATTTTATAAAAATATTTAAACTTAGTTTAGGTAATATTTATTTTTACCTAATTCCATGTCCAGGTCCACATATAACTTTTTGGATCCATAAATTAGAGGAGCCAGGCCCAACTGATACACAGTCATCCCCTGTTCCAATATTAGAATCGAAAATGTTGACTTTGGTCGACCCTCCGATGTGAATTCCATCGGTGTTAGGGCTCTCTTCGAGTGCTGAGATTTTCGCACCTTGCACTGTGACGTCTTGGCATTCGTTGATGACAATGTGAAACATTTGGCTGTTTATAGATGTTAATCCCGTGATTATAATGTTGTTTGAATTTGCAAATTTAAGTGACTGCACATGCAAAACCAAATATAATTAGAATGCGAATAACATTAGTGATCTTGTATGAATCCTTACAGAAATGAAAGGTATTGAATGAGGGTATTTCATGCACGTTTCTGAAAGGTATTGAATATAGCTCTAGCCTTTAATATGATCCTTTTCGATTTTAAAAATAAAATTACCAAATGCAACATTAAAAAAAGATAATAAAAATTAAATCACATAATCTACCGTTGCACCGGTAGGGCAACTCTTGCCGGAGTTCTTGCAAGACCACAATCCAGAGCCTTGTCCATCAAGAATACCACCAGAAACTGTAACCCCTTTAACATGTCTAAATATTATCCATTCCTCTGAATTACCAATCACATTATAATCTGAAGGAGCCGAAAGAGTACCATTTATCTGAAAAACAATAGCGTTGTTCTTGCAAGGACCGTCAAATGACACTGTCTTGCTTACAGCAAATTTCCCTTTTGGAACATAAAGGGTGGCTGCTTCTCTGGAGGCACATGCTTGTGTCCAAGCAGCAAGCAAGGCCTTGCTTGAATCTGTTCGGCCACCAGGTTTGGCGCCATAACTAACTATATTGTATCGTGAGGCTGCCATGGCCATAGACGAGGTTAAGGAAATTAAGAGAAGTACAAAAATATTGTACTTCATTGTACGAGTTATTTTTATATGATAAGAGAGAAAAGATTGTTGATAAGAGAGATGAGTTTTCGGAGAAAAAAGATAGCGTATAGTGAGACTGTAAGGAGTTAGAATTAGATGCAGTATTTATAGGCATTTAGAAACTTTTTTTTAAAATTTTATTTTTGATAGAGGGTCAATTTCTTTTTTTTTTTTCATTTTAGTTTAAATAAACAAAATCAAATATTTCCAAACTAGTCAAATTTAGTTCCTAAATACGGGTATTTATTTCCAAACTAGTCAAACTAGTCATTTCAAAGCAGTCAAACTAGTCAAATTAGTCAAAAATATCCTATTCTTTCCTACTTGAATCAAAATAAATTTTGAACTTTCTTTTTTTAGGAAAAATATTTAATACTCGTAGAACGTGAGTGAAATTTGTCATGTGTGATGATTTTAATGATACGCTTGTTTATTGGTTTGTTCGTAAAATTAGTTATTTGGTAGGCTTGTTAATTGTTTTGATAATATTTAATTTGTTAGCTGGTTTGAAATTAATTTTTTTTGAAATGCTAAAGTCAAAGTCTATATGAGTTAACTTTTGTTACAAAACACTACCTTAACCTCTAAAATCTAGTTCACGTTATGGATCAAACACCATAGAAAAAAATAGCATTTTAGCTTTTTTTTGACTAGTTAAACACTAAAGAGTTGTTTTAAAAAGTTGGTTGACGAATATAACATTAACCTAGTTTCAAAAAGATATTAAATCTTAATGGATAGATATGATTCTCCATTTACTAATTGTGTAAAAATTCTGTCTTTTATTAAATATGTAGGTTTTCTAAATTAAGTTCAAATATTTTATAATTAAATAAAAATCGTTTCTCTTTATTTTTTTTTTTTGTGGTTTTATAAAAATTGATTCATAATTACTTATCAAATATTCCTATTGGAGTATTATATATTTCTTCTTTTTCTAATTAATAGTGTCCAAATATGCTTAAGTGTGTCAAAATATTAGTTTGTAATATTATTATGTATTCATTGTACATACTTGTGATTTAATTTTTATATTATGTGAATTTCTTATTTTTTTATAATATTATAAACAGGTCACATCCTTTAAAAAACTTAAGAAACCAACATTAATTTAATTTATATCTATTAATTAGTTTCTGAGATAGATTTTAACGGCCAAACTAAATTTCAAATCGTACTAATAAATAGTTACTGTAATGTTCATTCCCTAGGTGTATAAAAAAAACATGTGATAATTAAATTCAACATCAACAGAGGAAAGAAAAAATATGTGAATAAAAAGTTTACAAGTATATGACGTAACTACTTTATTCAATATTTTCGACACAAATTCTTTTTACTGGTCTATAACTTTGTCTACCACAGACCTTTCTCTCTTCCGAAGATTGGTATTTAACCTTATAGTAACCTAAGCCTCTCACATAATATATGTTAGTCTTTTGAAACCCGTACTACAAGCCTAGTTTGACCATTATTGTTTAATCACTACATTACATTACTCTCTCATCAATCACATCCATTATATCTGTATTCCTTCGTAACTTAAACTTTCTATAAAATGTTTTGGAAATGAATGTTCCTTGCAAAACCATTGCTTTCTCTCCCCCAAGTCTTGATTCTCACTCCATTCTGGGTACCAACAATTGTACTAGATCTAACCGTCACGTTCTGCACTCCATTTTCTTCAAGATCCCTCCCTAAACTTCCTATGCTGAATCGATACATATGTTAAAATTATTAAATTTACTAATTGGAGGTCATAAAGGGTTATTTTTAGGAGAGTTCAGTGTTTCAAAAATTATTATTTATGGTTTAATGAAAAATTATAATTCGACTCTTTAGTCGAATCATATAGTATTATTTATTCTGCCTATATTTTGATGATTTTGTTTATCGCATTTTGTTGTTTGGGCAATTATGCAGAAAGAAGTGAAAATGAAGAAATTTGATAAAAGGAAGAAATTTGAAAGTAATTATATTAGACTTGTAGAAAGATCACGGAGTTCAGTGGTGGCCATGAATAGCTATTAAATGGAGCGAACTATCACTTATGGCAAATGTATTAGGCTCTATTAATCTAATCAGATATTTCAAATTGAAACTATGTTTCTTTATTCTTTGTATATATGATTTATTATCAGACTTCATATACAAAATTATAAAAATATATTTGATGTGTATTCCATATATGAAATTTTCAGTTTGATTTCTTTAAAAAAAAAAAAAAAAAACAATATATTTGTAAGTGCTAAAATAATTATGTTTACCTGATTCCATGGCCAGGTCCACATATAACATTTTCAACCCACAAATTAGAAGTGGCAGGACCAATTGATACACAGTCATCCCCAGTTCCAATTTTAGTTTTGAAAATGTTGACATGGGTTGATCCTCCAACGTGAATTCCATCTGTGTTAGGGCTATTGCCGGGAGCTATAATTTTCACTCCTTTCACATTGACATTTTGGCATTCGTTGATCACAATGTGGAACATTTGGCTATTTAGTGATACCAATCTTCTTATTCCAATGTTGTTTGAATTTGTAAATTCAAGTGACTGCACTTCCAAATCAATCATAAAATGTCAGAATATACAAACAGAAATTGAAATGGTGTGTGTTGCTAAAACTGGATGTCTGAAATGGTATGACTTATATATTTATACATGTTTACCATTTCGCAGTGAGAATTTCAGAATATAAAGCTTCAAAATTACATGAATAGCTATTCTTCAAAGTCTAAATTAATCAGATGAACAGCTTACCGTTGCACCAGTAGGACAGTTCTTGCCTGAGGTTTTACAAGACCACAATCCGGCGCCTTGTCCATCAAGAACCCCACCAACGATTCTAACACCAGTAACTTGTTGAAATATTATCCAAGTCCCTGAATTACCAATCACTTCATAATCTGAAGGAGCCAAAAGTGTACCATCTATGCGAAACAAAGTAGCATTGTTCTTGCAAGGACCCGTGAATGCTACTGCCTTGCTTATGGCAAATCTCCCTTTAGGAACATAAATTTCGCATAGCATTGTTCTTGGCAGGACCCTTGAGAACAGGCTACTTTCTTGCTACAGCAAACCTCCCTGTAGGAACATAAATTGGTTAGCTGGCTTTAGTAGAGGCACAGGTCCTGTGTTCCAGGCAGGCAAAGAAAGGGGCCCTTCTTGAATCTGTCTGGCCATCAGGTTTGGCGCCTAACTTACTACATTTGTATTGTTAAGGCAGCCATGGCTATAGCATTGAAGGAAACGAAATTAAGAAAAGTACAAGCAATTATATTCATTGTACGAGTTCATTGTTGAATAAAATAAAAGAGCAAAGGGAAGGGAATATAATATTTAAGCTTATCGATAAGAGGAGACTGAAAGAAAGAAGAAAAATTGATAGAATTGTTTTTGTTGCTACTGAGGCTTGTTGTGAGTTAAATGTGATGATGTATTTATAGGCATTTAGGGAGAGGGAGAGAGAAAAAAACCAGAACATGGAAACATCATTCTCCAACATATGGATATTGACCAATATCATAAAATTTTTTTATTTCAAGTAAAATTTTATTAATTGAGAAACCTAAAACCGTTTACAAGGCTATTATTATGGGATAGGTTGCACGTTACGTGGTTGCTTAAAACCGGGAAAGTCCAATAAAAGAAAAGGAAATTAAAATGAAAAGACTAGCAGCGTAAACTTCAAAGACACAAAATACAACAAACAACGCAGGAAAACATGCACCGCCGCCTCCCGCCTCTCTTTAGTTCCGTTGCTTCTGTTTGTTCGGTGAAATAGAATTGCTTTACTAATTGTAATATATTTTCCCCATCCATGACGTTGAAATTTTTCATTTATTTTAGTATTCGTGACATTCTGACTGTTAATTCCCCCAGTAGCCGGCAACGGCGCCAAAAACTTGACAGTGTTTTTCGCAAGTGTACGAAGTTAAATTAAGGATTCTTTAAAAAGTATTTAGACCTTATCCTTTACTTTCCAAATGTACAATCAGATATACTTTTGTTTCAATAAAAATCTTTAATTTTATTAATTTGGTCTATAACTTGGTCGTACACCCGGTCTAAGTAAGTTTTTCCGTTGTGGAGTTTTTTTTTGTCAGTGGCAAATATATGATTTTAAGGTTTGATGTATAAAATACAATGGATTTATAATTTTTGACGTCATCCATGCTTTGACCACTGTTTTAATTCGCAATCTTATAATTTTTTAAATTACTTTAATATTATTGAATAAAAAAGTTTGTTAGTCACAATTTAGGTTGTATTTTGAACAGATTTTTTTTTTGGTATGATTTGTGGATTTGTGGATTTATATAGAGAGCCTTTTGACTCTCAATTATATTAAATTTTTCTCAGACTCTATTAATAAAATAAAATGAAATATTATTTTCCGATAAAAAAAATGTTTATTAATCACAGTAGATTATATATGAATTACTATTGTCTTACCTCTAAATAAACAAAATCATGTTGAGAATAAGTTTAAAATAGTCTTTGTTATATTATAAACACATTTTTTGTTGCAATGAAAATAATCCCACAAATAATTTAAGAATAATTATTGTACGGTTGTAAATTTAGGAACTAAGCATGTTTTATTTGGATAGCAGATGCCTTGTGGGTGTAGCAACCATAAGCAGAACGTGTTTCCAGAAAAAGAGAAAAATGTAATAGTACTAGAACGTGAAAAGGTGGAGAGGAAAGCGGAGAAGAAATCGCAAGAGCCGCACATTGGTATTAACATGTTTTTTAATAGTATTAACATGTTTTTTAATTAAATTGAACAAGTTTATAATCTTAGCTATTAAGTTTTACAAAAGAAAATTTAATTATCACTTTGTTCATTTTTATTATTTTACTAGCTTTTTCAAACGTTTATACTCGTTAATTTTTACTTGTTGTAAATGAAGTAAATGAAAGTATTTTCATTTTTACATGTAATTTTATATTAATTTTTATAATATTAGAAACAATTTATATTATTAAAAATTAATTTCTTGAAGTGAACATTGATTTGCTTTGATTTATTAGGTTTTGAATTTACATTATAGATATTATACATTAAAGATATATAGTTATTATAATAATTAATATTTTAATCATTATTTTGAAATATTATTTATAATTTCGATCGTTTTCTTTTCCTTTTTACTTTTTGTTATGGTCCATGAGTTTATAATTAATTTTATAGTTTTTTTTTTAGGAAAAAAAAATTTCTTTCAACATGTTAAAATCCATAAAGATACATTCTTACCATATTAATACATGAAATTAAAGTGAATAATAAAGTTAGTGAAAGATATAAGGGAAATTTTAAAGATATTATTTTTAAAAATTTTGCCTAGACACATGACCTGCCTTATTTGCAAGATGAAAATTGTTGACACGTCTTCTTATTTATTAATCTATCAAATAATATTACCATATTACATTATATTACATATAATATGTATAATTACCATATAATAGAATTATCATATTATAGTATATACCATTCATATAATATACATATTGTCATATTTAATAAATACATTATATAGTTTATTTAATATTAATATATATGATTTAGATTTCAAAACCACTGGTTTCAGTTATAAAAACGTCCAAACAGGTTAATATATAATATAATTATTTATTTTGCCAAATAAAATTTAGATTTAAAGAAAAAATTAATATAACTAGTAGTGGATCTAAAAATATCAGTATCCGAGGTTAGCATATAATTTTTTTAAAGAAGAAGGATAAAAAACATAAACAAATTAAAATTTATAGATTATTTTAGACAAATTACATATATTTATTAGAAAAATGCTAAAAAATTTACCCATCTTTTTACCTGATAGACCTACCACTAAATATGACCAATCTAAATTAAATTACTTTTATCTAAATTAAATTACTTTTATTTTTTAACTAATCAAATTAAATCTTTAATTATATTTTTGTCAATCCATAATTTAATAGGGACATTTTTGACAATCCTAATTATATTTCCACTTTTACATATGTTGTTAATTATTAATTATTATATATTATAGATTTAAAGAGAAATAAAAGTATTATGATACCTATCTTTATTTTTCTGAATAAAATTATTATACACCCACTTATGGAGCAAGCAAATATAATAATAATTTAAGGATGCAACGGGATTATATAATATTTGGTAATATTTTAAAATAATTTCTCTACATTTAATAAATCAATTTTAGAGATCAGTAATGACTTTTGAGCTAGCTTTTAGTATTTTGACTGTATCAAAACTCTATATATTCACTATGATACTAATTATAATATATTTTAGAGGTTGAGAGAGTTTTTTATCAAATATAAAATAACCTCATGTTTAGTATTTCACATAGGATGATTAAATTTTTTTTTACAATCAGACTCATTTTTTTTTATTTCATAGAATTCGGCTAGTTAAACAACTAATATTATTTTTTATCATTTTAAATTAAACAATTATTTTTATCGAATACTTTTAATTTAAATAGCTATAGAAACGACTATCAATAAAAGGTAATAGTTAGCAACTAGTAGAACAGTTAACAGCTACTATAGCAGGCCCTAATGAATAATTTGATGAATAAAGATAAAAGATGTATTAAATTAAAAATTTATTCTATAAAATTTTTTAGAATTTTCCTAATTAAATTTTGAATGCAAAAAAGGATAAGAAAAGAAAAAAAGGAAAGGAAGAGTTATCATAATAATGTAGCTCATATAAAATTTCACATTAAAAATAAAAAGTAAACCAAAACCGAAATTATTTCAGTAATTTGCTGATATATATCAAATATCAAATTATTGTTTTAAAAGTTGTATTAATCATATATCAAATCAAAATTTTGCATATGAAAGGCAAAGAACTTGAAAATTTGTTGTTTTCGGTGTGATGAGATATGAGATTATTATAAAAAGAGAAGTTGAGGATATTGTGAATACTCAAATTTTGAGGGAACTTCAATATTTTGAGGCTCAAAAAGCCTATTTTCCCTGACTGCAAAACAGTCTGGCCGGATCCGGAGGCCCATTCGGAAAGTTCCCCGCAAAGTATGCCAATATGGTATTGAAAGTTCGGAAAATTACGAAGGATCGACTAGCAACTGGTCCCGGATATTTTTTGGAGGTCGGAACTCCCGAAAAAGCCTTTGAAAACGAAAAACAGAGAGTGGGCAAACCCACGGCGGCGCGGCAGCTGCCCCCTAAGCGGCGGCAGCGGCGCCTCACCGGCGGCGGCAGCGGCCGCCCTCGCAACCGGGTTTTTTCCTATAAATACGCCTCGACACTGCCGTTTTTTTTAACTCACTCAGTCTGTGTTGACGGACACGCTCCTCTCCCTACGCTCCTTGCGATCCTTTTACTGCTTTCTCTGCGCATTTATAAGGCTTTTATTTGGCGTTGTGATACGGTCACTAAATCGAATTAAATTTTCAATTAAATTCCCCTAAACAAGGAGCTTAATCCGAGTTCAGCTGAAGCTAAGAAGCGGTCGCCGAATTAACTCAGGTAAATACTAAGACCCTGTCCTAACAAGCACTATAAGAGTCTAGGTGTCCCTCCGCCTCCGTGGGGCAACATTCCTCCGATCATCCCTTACTGCTACACTCTCTCCAACTCTCGCCTGTCCGTGAGCCAACACAAATCTCCTTACTCAGCGTCGGACCTGTAGCCAACCCTCAATGCACTCAGCAGTTGCGGTCCTCCTTGGCCTCTCAAACAACGGCAATGAACCAGGTCCGATACTCAGGAGAAGTCTGAATACCGGCAGGATTAAGTAAAGGCCTAACCATGTGATGGTCTCTAACCAAGCCCTAAGGACGGCTCGGGTAACGCCCGGAGTGATGGCTGAATCAGCTGAAGTGCCATCTACAATTAGAACAGTCTGGTCTATCCCCATCTGCCTCAAAACGCGGGAAGCGCAGTACCACATGCAATGTGTAAGGCCTAGCAGATAAACTTGGGTGTGGCAGAAGCTAACCTGGATGAAGCGGGTAATGGCATACCAGGAAATGTACCAC